TATTTGTTCTCCATTCATATGCATTATGTAGTCTTTGTATTTATTTGGTATTTGGTTTCTATTGTTCCTAATAGTTCTTTCAGGCTTGCTATGGTTATCATGCAAATATCTAGCTTCCTTCTTTGTTAATGTGTCTGTCTTTATTTTATGCTGACTATTAGTCCAAGTTTTGATTTTGTTCTTACTTTTGTTAATATTTTGATTTTCTGTTGTTCCTTCCTCGCAAGATATCGTATCTTTACATTTATTAGGAAATATTTCATTAAGGTGCAATTTTGACCAATTGGCCTGTTCATGGAACACAGCTGTTGGGATACTATAAATTTGTTATTACTATCAATAAATCTGTACCCTTTGGTTCCAGTTTCGTATCCCATGAATCTTAATCTCCTGGATACGTTTTCTCCCTTTCTCCTCAATTGTTTAGGTATGTGTACGTCTGCAGTGACTCCAAATATGTGCATGTGTGATAATTTGGGTTTTTCTATTGTACATCACCTCATATGGTGTCTTATTCACAATACTGGACCAGGTTCTATTTTGAGTGTAATTTGAATAATGTAATGCCTCTGACCAAAATTGTTTGCCTAAACCAGCATCCTCTAATGTGCACCTAATCATGGTTTGTAGTGTGGAATTTTTCCTCTCTGCAACTCCATTTTGAAATGCAGAAAAAGGATTGGACGTGAAATGTAACATTCCTCTATCCTTTAACCATTGGGAGAATTCTTTAGACATGAACTCACATCCCCTATCTGTCATAATTTGCTTTATTCTGATATTATGTTGTGTGTTTCTATACGTTTGTAGAATTCCTTAAATTTCTGAAATGTTTCATCCTTGTGCTTTAATGTGTAAACAAAACCATATCGGCTGTAGTCATCCACTATTGTTAGGAAGTAACGTTTTCTATAGGTAATTGAGGGACTTAATGGACCAACTAAGTCCATATGTACCAAATCAAAAATATTGTTAGTTGATCTGTTAGATTTTTTTGGTCTGGGGCTGGTTTTTAGTTTGGTGGATTTACATACTGAGCATTCCAAATAATTTTCACAATTTTTTATTTTGACACCTTCTGCGTGTTCAGTCATTTTTTGTACTACAGGAAAGCTTGCATGTCCTAACTTCCTGTGTAAGATGTGAGCACACTCATCATGAATTGGTTTACCTATTTTTGGTTTCTTTTCCTTGTATGTATTTTTTGTGATCATGAGTTATTCTACACTCATCATTGTCACTGTTACTGACATTTTCATCATCTGCTTCAATACAATCTTCCATATTTGAATCAATGTTATGTAAACATCTTTCTTTAGTTATCAGATAGGGTAGACCTCCTTTTATCATTACAGTACCTACATTTGTTTTGTTCTTTTCTATAGTTGCTTTCCCTTTTGAGAAAACTATATTGATATCAGATTCTCTGCTTAATTTTATGGCACTTAGTATGTTGTGAGGTATTTCTGGGATTAATAATACCCCCTCTATTTTCCCTAGACCAGGCAAGGTCACATTTCCTTTGCCTAGTACTTGAACCTTTTCTTGATTAGCTACCTTTATCACAAACTTATCTTCTATAAATGAAGATAATATACTTTTGTTGTTGGTGGTGTGATTTGTTGCACCAGAATCAATAAGCCAATTGTTATTCTCATCCTGCTGTGTTCTGGTGCTGTCTTGTTTATTTAGCCCATTCAGTGACCCAGATTTCCTCTCTTTTGAATTTTCTCTACCCCCTCTACCTTCTTTGTAAATGGTGGGACTTCTATATTTGTGTCTATCTGTGGAAGATTGTCTGTAATTATATTTGCTCCTATATTCTGGCCTATGTCTCTCTCTTGAGACTTTGGGACAGTCTCTTCTACTATGTTCCCTGGATCCACAATTGTAGCATCTAAAGGCCTCATTATGTTTATCTTGAAAGACTACTTTCCTAAAAGGTTTGTGGTCTGTTTGGTTACTGGATCGATTTTTTCTTGAATTGTCTTCTGCTATCAATTTGTTAGATAGACTTTCTATGGATAAATATCCCAAATTAATGGTATCTAAGTGTGACATAAAGCTATCCCATGATGGATCAAGTGAATTGATAATAACACTTTTCATTGTTTGATCTGAAATCACTTCCCCCTCAATTGTAGCTCAGCTCTTATTTTGTTTAGATTTATCAAATGCTCACTTATAGAAACCCCTGGTTTTACTCTAGAGGAAAAGAAATCCTTAGACATTCTTGTGGTTGTAGCTACGCTATCGCTGTGAAATAGATTAAACATGCATTGAATTATTTCTGATACAGTTAGGTTTGGTTTGATGCTATGATACATTGCAGGAGACACGCTAGATATTATTATGAAAAATGCTCTATGATGTAAACAATCTATTTTTAAAGTCCAAGGTCTTCTTGGAGGGCTAGTTATAAAGAATAGTAAATTTTCTTTCATGAAAATAACCTGAAGCTGTTGATACCACTCTTGTAAATTAATGCCATCAATTCTAAGTTTTGGGAAGTCACTGGGTAAGTTACCTACATTATTCTGTCCATTACTTACAACCTGGGGCAGTCCGTGATCTTTCAAGTGCAGGAAATTACAGAACGGCATTGGGATGCTTGCAATGAGTCTGCGCGGTTCTCTGGCCAGTTCAAGTCCTTCTGGGTCGTCTACGTAGTTTCGCACATGCGCGTTGCTCATTTCTTCTTTGGTGGCGTCGTGGAAGGTTCTCTCCCTTTCAGCTCTCTCGATCCGCTCCTCCTCAGATGAGTCGGTCTCTGGCTCGGTTTTTGGGGTTCTGGTGGTGGCGACGGTTCTTTTCTTCTTTTTGTGTGCGTTGGTATTCGATCTTGTCTGTGTGTGTGTAGGGCGAAATCGGCATGGCTCTCTGGGCTCAGGCGTCGTCGCTTTCGAAGTCAGGATGGGAGTGTGCAGGTCTTGAGTCGCCGGTTTGATTTCTTGCTTCTTCGTAGATGTCTTGGTAATTTTCAGTCTTGGCCCAAAAGCAGCAAAAAGTGTTTTCATTGCTGATTTTACTTGAGATTTTGTTAAATCGTCTTCACTTTCTGATTTTGGATCATCTGAAGAGTTTGAGACTTCTTTCTCACTTTCTTCGTCTGATAGTGTTTTTCGCGCCAGAAATTTTGAACTGAGCGTTTTGATTGGCTCTGCTCCATTCTCTTTTGAAGTTCGTTGAAACCAAGATGGCTGCCATTCAAAATTTCGCGCGGGATCACATCTTTTCTTTTTAACAACTATTTTCTCAGTAGTCATCTCACTTACGGTTTTTTTTGATCTTTGGGTTTTTCTTTAATGACGTTTTTCTCTCTCGCTGCTCCGCTGTTCTTCAGCATCTCCTGGAGGTCCGCGATGAGACTTTCATCATTCTTTTGGCTTTTTAGTATCTTTAATATCTCTGACCTGAGTTCGTTATTTTCTATTTCGATTTCTTTCTGGTCATTATTTTCACTCATTAGTTCTTCTTCAGTGGTGTATTCTTCGGATTCTCTCGAAATCGCATTGGTGGATTCGTTGATCATCTCTTGATCAGTTTCTATTTCTTTGCTGTAGGCCCTGGTGTTGGGCCTATCTTTCTTGGACATTTTTAATTACTTATTGAGTCAATTAACCATCCTCTGCTACCAGCTTGTTGCAATATTTTCAGGATCAGACTCAATAAAGATAATAGGAGTTAGAGATTTAAATATATTTCTTTTTAATTATGATAGGCATTCTATATCCACCGAATATTCAAGGTAGAAGCAGTTAGAATGGTGAGGGTGGCTCCTTATATATACAAGGGGTGGAGCTAGGAATGGGAGTGGTAAGTTATGAATACATTAAAGTCCAAAGAATAAGTTAACCTCTGATGTTCCATATATACATTATTTACACATTGGAGAATAAGGCATTTACATCTGACAGAAACAATGTGCAAATACTTCACCATAGTAGAAACACTGAGGATTAGGGTTAGGGGAGACAGTTAAATTGATAAAGAAATCAATGAATGCCATTACAATACACATATTTGTGAGCATCTATGGATATAGGCATGTAGTTACAAGTATATGTTTGATATAATGGTTAAGTACTTGTTAGAAATTCAGAGATAATGAATTCTAATCCTGCCTCAGACAGAAAGCTAGCTGGGTGTTCTTAGGTCATTGATTTTCCCTCAGCCCTAGGAAGGAGATAATGGCAAACCATTTCTGAAATCTTGCCAAGAAAACTGTAGGAACATGTTCTGGCACAGTGTCTCAAAGGTAGTTATTTAAGTATTAAAAGATCCTGTTAGGGCAGACCTTGCAAATCATTACAAGATAATATGTTGATTGAGAACTGATAAAGTTGTAGTTCAACATTTTGGGAGGGGACTGAGCTGATAAAGTGTACTGTGACAGGAAAGGTGGCTCCTGTGCCTTTGCACATCTATGCACTCTAAATTCTGTTGTTTCTGGCATAATATACACTTATAAGTAGTTACTGAGAGACGTCACAGGTGATAAAAGAGCAAGCATGGGTTATTCTACTCTTCTGAGATAATTATTCTAAGATCTCTAGTCACTAGTCGCATATGCTCTACTATAACATCACCGATATTCTGCTGGGGGAAGCATTGATGATGCATTGCTGTTACATGTACAGAATTACTAGAGGTGTGGTTGAGAGGCATGTTGTTGGACTGAAGTAAGACATAGTGGGTTTTTTTTTTGTAGACTGCTCTCTTTTCTCTGAGATTTATAAAAAAATGTGGGGAAATTAATAGTATGGCATTATAGCAGGCACAAAAGATATATCTCTTCTCTGGATCATCAGAGCCAAAGATATCCTCAGATGAGTTAGAGAAATCTTTCTGACAGCAGTGCTGTTTTCTTATAACTTTTCTTTTGCTTCTGATTTGCCTTATTTTGTCACCAGTGTCATTCCTATCCCTGTTCACTCTGCCATGCAAAGCAAGATGTTTTTCAGTCACGTCATCTAAACTTGACTTCTCCTCTCTCCCAGATACCACAAGGACCAAGAAGAGTCATGAAAAGGAGGGTGTGGAATACAACTTTGTTTCAAAACAATCATTTGAGATTGATATACAGCACAACAAGTAAGCTTTGCTCTGTGGTACTTTCAGTACCTCTGAGATACTTTCTTTGTTCTGAAAGTATGTCCTTTTTTGTATTAAGCCCCATTCATGTCATGTATCCTCTGAGAGTCTAACTAGAGTAGCTCTCCTTTGCTGATAGGCACTTTAATTTCATGGGTAGAAGAGCTTTGACAAGCATATTTCATCTAATATGCTTGTCAAATGGGGCTATAATAATGGGGAAGTTTTTTTTGGCTGTAAATGTTCTCCAGATTGGGATGGAACCAAAGAGATCTTATTAAGACTGGGTTTGTTTACTTAATATGTTGAATTACCATATTTCTCGGACTATAAGATGCACCTTAATTTGGCGGTGGAGTTCCCCAGGCTTATGGTACTGGGGGACTTCAATTTGCCATCACTTGGCGAATCCTCAGATGCGGCTCAGGAGTTCATGGCTTCCATGACAACCATGGACCTGACCCAAGTAGTTCAGGGTCTGACTCATAGGGGGGACACACACTTGACCTGGTGTTTCTCTCAGGGCAGTGGAGATATGATCTGGAATTAAGGGGTATAGATGCTTCTCCCTTGTCATGGTCAGATCATTTCCTGCTGAGGTTGGACTTCAGGACGCTACTCCTCCATCGCAGGGAGGCGGAACCGATTAAGTGGTTCCGCCCCAGGCGCCTAGTGGACCCTGAAGGGTTCCAGAAGGAGCTTGGGGAGATACCTGACTACCTTGTCCACAGTCCAGCTGAGTCCCTGGCGGCTGCCTGGAATAGGGCAGCATCTGGGGCACTGGACCAGATTGCGCCTTTGCGACCTCTCCATGGTGGTGGATCCAGGAAAGCTCCCTGGTTTACCGAGGAGCTCTGGGAGATAAAGTGCCAGAAGAGACGTCTAGAGTGATGCTGGAGGACCAGTAACTCCAAATCTGACCAAACACTCTTAAGAGCCTTTATTAGGACTTATTTAGTGGTGATACAGGCGGCAAAACATTTGCATTTTTCCGCACTTATTGCATCCGCTGATTCGCGCCCAGCCTCCCTATTTAGGGTGACTCGCTCCCTCCTTAATGTAGAGGGAGTGGAGGAGCCCTTGCAGGGTAGAGCTGAGGAGTTTGTGCAGTTTCTGTCAGATAAAGTCGCTCAGATTCGGATGGACCTGGACTCTGATTGGGCAATTCCGACCGAGATGATGGGGGCAGGTCTTAGTCCTATTGCGTAGGATGAGTTTGAGCCTGTGACTCCTGAGAAAGTGGACAAGGCTGTAGGAGCGATGAGTTCCTCCACTTGTTTGTTGGACCCGTGCCCCTCCTGGCTGGTTTCGGCCAGCAGGGGGGTGACACGAGGCTGGCTCCAGGCTTTAGTTAATGCGTCCTTGAGGGAAGGGGCCTTCCCGCAACCGTTAAAGGAAGTGGTTGTAAGGCCCCTCCTCAAGAAGCCTTCCCTGGATCCAGCAGAATTAAAGAACTTTTGTCCAGTCTCCAACCCAGCCTTTGTGGGAAAGGTTGTAGAGAAAGTGGTGGCACTTCAGCTCCTGCGGTCATTGGAGGAAACAGATTATCTAGACTCTTTTCAGTCTGGCTTCAGGCCTGGCTACAGCACGGAAACTGCTTTGGTCATGCTGATGGATGATCTCTGGAGAGCCTGAGATGGGGGTCATTCCTCCATCTTGGTGCTACTTGACCTCTCAGCAGCTTTCGATACCATTGACCATGGTATCCTTCTGGGACGACTAAGGGAGCTGGGGGTGGGAGGCACCGTGTTCTTTTATCTTCTTTATCTTTTATTAGATTTGTATACGGCCCTTCTCCTTTCAGACTCAGGGCGGTGAACAGCCAAACAGGCTATTGCTGAGCACATTGTAAGCCGCCCTGAGTCTTCGGAGAAGGGCGGCATATAAATCAAATTAAAAAAAATAAAAATAAAAGTAAAAATAAAAATAAAAACATTTGTACACAAAAGTTAAAATAATTTTAAAAATAAGTAAATGAAATTTGGCCCATAATTTAAAACATTTCAATTAAAAATCAGTATCAAACTTTAAAACCAACATGGAATCAGGCCAGCCCGGCTAACTGTTACGGTGGTTCTCCTCCTATCTCTCTGGTCGGTCACAGTCGGTGTTGGTAGGAGGACAGAGGTCGACCCCTAGGCCCCTTGTTTGTGGGGTGCCTCAGGGTTCGGTCCTCTCTCCTCTCTTATTTACCATCTACATGAAGCCGCTGGGTAAGATCATCCGACAATACGGGGTGAGGTATCAGCAATACGCTGATGATACCCAGCTGTATATCTCTACCCTGTGTCAATTCAGTGATGCGGTGGATGTGATGTTCTGGTGCCTGGAGGCTATGAGGGTCTGGATGGGAGTCAACAGGCTCAGACTTAAACCCAGACAAGACCGAGTGGCTGGGGTATTGCCTCCTAAAGACTATGTCAATTGTCCATCCTTGGTTCTGGGGGTGAGAAATTGTCTCCCTCAGAACGGGTTCACAATTTGGGTGTCGTCCTAGACTCACAGCTGAGATTAGAGCAACATCTGACACCTGTGGCTAGGGAGGCCTTTGCACAGGTTCGCCTGGTGCACCAATTGCGACCCTACTTGGATCAGGAGCCTCTCCTCACAGTCACTCATGCCCTTGTCACCTCACGGTTAGATTATTGCAACACGCTTTACATGGGGCTACCCTTGAAAAGTGTTTGGAGACTACAGTTGGTCCAGAACGCAGCCGCGCGAGTTGTCGTGGGTGCACCTAGGTACACCCACATTACACCAATTCTCTGCGAGCTGCACTGGCTCCCTATTGGTCTCCGGTCACAATTCAAGGTGTTCGTTTAAAGCCCTACATGGCTCAGGGCCAGGTTATCTTCAAGACCGCTTTCTACTGCATAGCTCCCAGCGACCAGTAAGACCCCACAGAGTTGGTCTCCTCTGGATCCCGTCAGCTAAAGAATGCCGGCTGGTGGGCCTGTGGGGGAGGGTCTTCTCTGTGGCTGCTCTAGCTCTTTGGAACCAGTTACCTCCTGAGGTCCGGACCATCCCTACGCTATTGGCCTTCCGAAAAGCGGTGAAGACCTGGCTTTTCCAGCAGGCCTGGGGCTGTTGATCTCGCTTTGCAATCTGACAAGATCCGGCCATGAATGGTGTGAATAGTTTTTAATGTCTTTAATGTTTTTATAGTGATTTTTGAGTGTATTGTAAGCCGTCCTGGGTCTTCAGAGAGGGGTGGCATATAAATTGAATTAATAATAATAATAATAGTAATAGTAATAATAATAATAATAATAATAATAATAATAGTAGTAGTAGTAGTAGTAGTAGTAGTAGTAGTAGTTGTACCAATTGTAATTGGAGCCCTTGGAGCAATACCCAAAGGGCTACCCCGCTATTTAGAAATTCTAAGTTTGCCGGACTTGAACATTTTGACTCTACAAAAAACCACCTTACTCGGAACAGCTTACATCCTCCGACGTTACTTACATCCTCCGACGTTCACAGTTCCTAGGTCCTTGGTTAGGACTCGAGCTGCTGAGCTATTAACCAGCCTTAAAGGCTGTGAATCTCACTAAAGATTAAATAATAATAATAGTAGTAGTAGTAGTAGTAGTAGTAGTAGTAGTAGTAGTAGTAGTAGTTATTATTTCGGGGGAGGAAAACAAGAAAAAAAGAATTCTGCCCCTGCCTACCAGCATCAGGATCAGCAGCATCCTCACTTCTACTCGGATTTGATCTTTTTATCCGTTTAAAACAAACCCTATCACTCTACACGCATTTAACTGGAGTGGCTGGGGTGGGGATGATTTTCATGGGGGCAGAAGACTGACTTGGCACCGAAGGCTCCACTCTTGAGATGCCCCGCCTTCCTACCTATAGCCGTAGGCGTTGAAAGCCTGGCTTCCTCACAGCAAGGCCCAATAGCAAAGCCCGTGTTACGAGATGGCAGCATCCAGGAGGACTGAAGTGCTGCATCTCTATTGGGCCTTGCTGCAAGAAAGCCAGGCTTTCAGCTCCTACGACTATAGGTAGGATGCTGGGGGTGTTTTGAGAGTGGAGCCTTTGGTGCCAAGTCCCTCTTCTGCCCCCATGAAAATCATCCCCCATCCCACCCATTCCAGTTAAATGCACGTAGGGTGATAAGGTTTGTTTTAAACAGATAAAAAGATCTGTGCTGCTCGTTATCAAAATCTGAGTGGAAGTGAGGATCCCCGCCACCTGGAACCGCCGGAAACTGCAACGCGTGGAAGCCGACAACCTCTGAAAGGTGGGGGTTGGTGGGTGGGCGGGGCTTCATTCGGTGTATAAGACGCATCCAGATTTTCACCCTCTTTTTTGGGGGAAGAAAGTGCATCTTATACTACGGTAATTGTATGCACTCCTACGCTGCATTTCTGCCAGTTTCTCAACACTTCACAAAATTAGACAGTGCTCTGTGTCTCTTCTTGCCTGAACTTCTCTAGTTTACCTTTGCTCGGAAGGGGAAAGGGAGGAAACTGAACAACACTTTTAGTACACAAAATTGAAGATCTGTGCAGTGTGCTACATGTGCCATACTTTGTTTGGTACTCCAGATATGCTGGAATTGCATTCCCCAAGAGACATATACTAAATAAATGTTCTGGGATTTGAAGTTGCCACATATCCAGAGTGCTGAGGATCACTGCTTTAAGGGTCTATCAGTACCATAGGCTGAAGGTATTAAAAAGCCCCTCCACACGCTAATGCTGAACAGATCTGAAATTAGTTTCACATTAGTTTTGACTTCAGAATGCTATAATGTTTGTGTTGTGTTTGGGAGAGTGACTAGATATCACAAGATATTATATATATCTCTATCTCTTATCTATCTACCTATCTACCTATCTACCTATCTATCTATCTATCTATCTATCTATCTATCTATCTATCATCTATCTATCTATATCTTTAGCCAGGTTCTTCCTATGTAAACCAAGATTTTTATGCAGCCCTAATTCAGTGAAATCACAATGAACTAGGGCTGCATAAAAATCTTGGTTTACGTAGGAAGAACCTGGCTAAAGAGAAATACACATAAAGCCTACGAAAAGGAAAGAAAACATATGTATGTATGTATGTATGTATGTATGTATGTATGTATGTATGTCTTTGGTTATTCAGGTTTTCTCCCCCGTAAAATTGGAAGTACCTTGGCAACCCCCCACCCAATCAGCACAGCCAAGCCCCCTCCCAATCAGAACACACCTCCACCCAATCAGAACACAGCCATGCTCCCACCCAATCAGTTCATAACCCCACTGGCCGTTGAAAAGAAGAAACAACCATGATCACACATTGCTTCTAGAAGACACCAGCCTGAAGATGACGAATAAGACTTCGTCGAAACATCGCCAAGGTACTTCCAATTTTACGTGGGAGAAAACCCGAATAACCAAAGATCTACATACAAATACCCGCGAAAACCTCAGAAAACAAACACACACACACACACACACACACACACACACACACACACACACACTATATATATATATATATATATATATATATATATATATATATATATATTCTTGATGAAAGTAAAATGTTCAAAAAGAGTCATCCCTTTTAAATCTTGTGGCCTGAAGCAAATTATTAAAAATAGAAAAGACAAAGTAAGCAATGTTACGCTATAATAAACATTTGACACGTTTGCATGCTACCCTCTCTTTTGAGGTTGGTGTTCTGTTTTGCTTTTTCTCACTTAATTCCCTCACAATTTTCAGGTTTGTAGAACATGGAGAATATAAGGAAAATCTTTACGGGACAAGCCTGGAGGCGATACAGTCTGTCATGTCTAAAAATAAAGTTTGCCTTGTGGATGTTGTGCCTGAGGTAAATTAACATTTTTTAAAAAAAAAAAAAACTGTGCTCCAGATTTGCTTTTCAGTTTAGGGTCCATCGTAACCATGGACAACATATGGCCTTTTAGAAAGAAATTAGCAGTGTGTAGCAAGAACTGTGACAATTAACAGAGGCATTACAAGTTAATTTCCTTGTGGAAATATGCTGTGTTATTTTCAGATGTGCCTTGTATCATATATTTTTATGATGTTTTTGTCCCTTGGCACTGCTACATCTATCACTGTCTCCTGATCCTTGATTACCCCAAGATGTCTGGTTGATACTTGTCTGCCCATATGGATTTGGAAGTCTCACAGAATTTTAGCCCTATTATTCTCCTCAACCTTCTGTGGTATCTCTCATTTGAACTTGGGAGTGTTTAGCCCATATACTGTCAAGATGTTCCTGTACATAATGCTAATTACCTGGTTGTGCTGTTCAATGTATGTTGTTCCTGCCTGCAACTTATACCTGACACTGAGGCCTGTCTACATAGTCTGCACCTATAATATCCAAGATAAATATAAATAAATAACATATATATTGTCTTGGGTTCTACATTATCCTCCTTTCCATATTAATCTTTTATTACTTTTAATAACTAAGGCATTTGGTTAGAAATGCAGAATTAGACACATTTTCAAGCAAATAGCATGCAGTTGACTATCGGTTGACTAATTTATCAAGTTGAGCAATTAAAAATACTTCAGATGATTTCAAAAAAATATTTCATCAGCACTAGGTTTTCTCCCAGATACTTTTAACTTTTATTAATTAATAGTCCTTTTTATCCTGGTGTGCATTTTTTGTGCTATTTATCAATTGAGTGCCACTTTTATTATATTTACGGTTATATTATAAAGCAATATTACAACAAAATTCAAGATTCCTTCAAAGATTCCTTCAGGCCATCAAATCAAGAGAAATAATGACAATTTCTTTCCTTTAAGAAATTGCGGCCACAGATTTCTGTTTTGCATATTTCTGCTTCCAGGCAGTGAAGCACTTAAGGACAGCTGAATTCAAGCCCCATGTGGTCTTCGTAAAACCTCTTGTCTCTGAAAAGAAAAAGAACACACCAGCCACTCTGCTGACAGAGGACATCTTTGTTCCCCTTGTAAGTATTTTGTATTGAAAGGATGTTTTTATGCAAGGATCTTATAATGGAATGGGCAACATTTGCCTTTGCTGAGGGCTGTCTTCCCTGGAAGGTCATCTGTGTACAACACCAGAATTTGATCTGAAGGATGTGGTAGCTATGCAGCCCAAAGTGAGTGTAGGATCACCCATTTTTCATTTTCTTTCTAATGTTATTATTTACTTCCTTGGATTCTCCTTGGATCCTCCTTTTCTCTCTTCTGTTGCCCTTGATTTATCCATTCCAAAATTTGTTTTTACAGTATTTGCCTGTAGGGAGTCAGAATCTACAAGATGGTGGGCATAGTGTCATAATCCAAATTCCAGACATTTCATACATGTGGTAGTATCCCATGCACATACAAAAGGGGTGTGACTTAGATCTTAATGCTACACTCTTCATCTTGAAATTTTGATGCATGTACTCCATGGATATCTCTGACTGTATCTTCCTCATTGTTGTTTAGATATTTTAGTCTAAAGTCTTGGTTGTTAGAAAATTATACTCTGGTGATTAGATCCAGATTCATATTATATACGTTCATTAAACTAAGCTAGGGTTTACTTGTTATGGATTCAATAAATCACCGTTCGGTGAATTTGCATATGGCTCTAAGCCATAAATCTAATTTTCAAATCACAATGACTAGATTCATACAACACATTAAATACAAACCAGACAAACCTCATAATGGCTTAATGTAATGGGTGAAGCTGATATTGGTGCAAAGAATAAATCCATTGTAATCAGTGGGGCATAAATCCATCATGACTTAAAATATATTTGATTTCTTTGATCTTCTAACTATGATTACGGTAAGTCTGGTTCCAGCTGATTGCATATTTAATGAATTCTTAAGTGAGCGGCAAATAAATGTACAGCCAAAGAAAAATGCCTTAAATTATTATACCTGTAACTTAATATATTCAGGTTATTACAGATAATCCTTGATTTACAATCATTCATTTTGCGACCAAAGGTATAACAGCACTGAAAAAAAGTGACATGACCGGTCCTTGCATTTATGATCATCACAATATCCCCACAGTCACTTGATAAAAATTGGTGTTCTTGGCAACTGGCATGTATTGATGATGGTTGCAGTGTCCTCAGGCCATGTGATTGCCGTTTGGGACTTTCCCAGCCTGTTTCTGCCATGCAAAATCAATGGAGAAAGCTAGTTTGTTTATGACATCATGATTCACCTAACAACTGCACTCATTCACTTAACAACTGTGGCAAACAAAAGGTTGTAAAATTGTGTATGACTTACTTAACAACCACCTTCTTTTTGCAACAGAAATTCTGATCCCACTTGTGGTCAGAAATCAAGAACTACCTGTACTAAATGTCAGGTTTCGATGCTATCTCAAAATAAATGAATTTCCAAACTGCCGATCTTTGAGGAAATTTTCTCTTTATTGAGCATAGTGATCTGTCCCTGGCTCTTTCATGGTCAGCACTGACCTTTGCCCTCCAAGCTCTCCCTTTCCGATCCCCAATTCTCTGCGTCTCATTGGCTATTTTCCAAGCCACTCTCCTCATCCCATCTCCATCAGATCACAGGAATGTCCCCCCCTCCTCCCATCTCCGAGGAAACAGAATCTTCAAAGGAATTAAGTAGGCAAAAGTTCAAGCTTCTCCTCTCCTTTGATATGTCAGCGCTGGAATGCTGACACTAAATTTCACTAACCAAATCTGCTTGCTGTAGCAGAATTACCCAATGGGATTTTTCCCCCCTTAGGAAGTGCCAAAAGGGTGTTGCAGCTCAAAATCACATTTTAAAGAACCCTCCTGAAAGGCCCCAAGAGTCATTTCCTATTGTCTTTCTGTTTCATATTGCAGGATGAGGAGCAGCAAGAGATGGTGAACTCAGCAGCCTTCATTGAGGAACAATATGGCCACTTAATCGATAGTGTCCTGGTGAAGGAAGATCTCCAGAGTGCCTGCAGCCAATTGAAAACCATATTGGAGAAACTGAACACAGACTGCTTTTGGGTGCCTGTCTCTTGGATCAAGTTGTAGTCAGCCATGTTATGCCAAAAAAGATGATTTATTCCTGTTTGATGATAATAATTTGTAAATAGAATGGATGGTTAAAAAGGGAAAATACTGCAGCAGCAGCCAGCTTGTTTGAAAAGCTGGAAAGAGAATCTGTCTGCAACTAAAACCATATTCTGATTAATCGCTTCCTCTACAAGAATGGAATGAAAAATTGCACGATACAATCCAGGGTATTTGTTTGCTTTTAGACAGCAGTTCTAAAGACAGAGATTCAAACTGTGGTCATCTTGACAAAGATTAAATAGCTGGGAAACATTACAGAGCAAAATATGTCAACTCTGAAACTTCCACAATCAATAATAAATGAGAGAGTCCTTCAATTAAGGGTTATAATGTCAGATAATACAATAATAAAACTTCTCCGCTCTTCCTATTGGTTGGCCAAGCAGAATCAAAAGAGCAATTAGAAGTGACGGTTGATACTTTACTAGAAGATAAGTCTTCCTGGCCACCTGCAAAGGCTTTAATAATTTTGTGTGAAAATTAGCCATGCTGTATATTCTCTCTATATAACTATATTTTGAGACATCAATAATTTAGTGGGATTTTCTCCTGGGATTATTTTAGTAAACTGTCTAAGTAATGTGTTAAATTATGAAGTCAAGGCATTGGAAAGTGTCTCAGTTCTAATCAAAGGACCACAAATTCCTCACGAGAAAAGCTGAAAAAGCACTTCTCCTCTATTTCTACATTGTTATGGGCTGTAAATGCTGAGGTATCTGTTTTGTAGGCCAATAAGTTACCCATTTTAGGTCAGCTTTAATTTAGGCAAGTGGTCTGAATTTTTAAAAGTGCAAAGGATGTTTGACATAAGCTCGACCTTGCCGAATGATAGCTGAAGATCTTTGGGAATCAGGATTATCCAATGTCCAAGCCTGTCCGTGACTAGCATAATACTGGATTTGCTGTGCAAACATAGAATTGGATGCAGAGTTTAGCATCCAGAAATTCACTTTAAAGGCCAAGCAAAATTTCAGTTCTTCCAATGATTGAAAATGTATAGTTTTTGTTTGCTTTTCTGGACTTGGTAAACATCTGAAGTGGAACATCTTTCAATTCTAAGAATTGAGGTGAAGGAACATCAGAACTCTGAAGCACCATAGCTAGCCTTTTCCAGAACTCCATATTCAGTATGATTGGGGCATCATAAACACATCCAAGTCTTCTACCATGCTTTTCTTTGTTTAATTCTTCTTGTAGAATGATAATTTTTTTTTGCAGATAATGTTGCTTTAGTGATTAAAAGGGAGGGCTAGTTCTTGTGAGAAAGGGCTTGACTTTTCTGTATTTTTCTTTTGTTTTCTGTACTGGTTTTTCTGTTCCACTATGTTTTTTTGTGAATTTCTTTGTAAAGAAAATATTTCCCATTGGAAAAAATAATCATCAATCTTCCTAGAACTCTTCTATAGCTTATACCACAGCATTTATCACCAGTCTGTCTTTTAAAGCAGAAATTATTGATGTACTTATTTAATTCTGTAGTTTTAAAATTGTGAAGAAAGTTGGGGCTTTGTTTAAAAAAAATTATCATTGATATTGATTGACTGATTATGGGTCATCAAGTTGGTGTCAGATCTTAGCAACCATATAGATAATTTCTCCAGGTGGATCTGTTCCCAGGATACTGTAGGTCTTCAGATATTCCAATGGTGTAATGTAATCCATCACTGAAGTACCTGAGTCCATCTCCTTGTTGCTGGTCATTGTTTTTCTTTTCATCGTTCTCAATATTACAGCTTCTCCAAGAGCCAGATGTCTTCATATGTCCAAAGTAGCATAACTTGAGCCTGATCATTTGTGCTTTGACTAATATATCATTAAGATTGATAATACTGGGTCAGAAGTGTCAAATTCGTGTCATCACATCATCACATGATATATCGCGGCTTTTCCCCCCTTTGCTAAAATGGGAGTGGGCATGGCCAGCGCATGATGCATCCAGCCTGCAGGCCACGAGTTTGACACCCATGTACTAGGTGAACGTCTCTGGAAAACAGCTGGCTCACCATTATTAATCTTTCTGTGAATGAAACAAGGTTCTAGGACATGCTGTCAATTGATGTGACAGGCTGGTAGAGTTTGAGAGATCTAGCTAGCACCTGACAAAAGGTGAAGGTATATGTTCACTTTATATATTGTATGTATGTGTTATAATATGGTAATTGCATTTATCCTATACAAGTATGAGAGAGAGACATATAGCTTGGAATGCAAGGAATTTCCCCCTACCCTCCCAATTTCTCTCTGAACCCTTCATGCCTAAAATAAAAATTCCCCTTTGGTATCAAATACATAGTTTGGTTCATAGAATGTATTAACAAGCTGGTAAGAATTGTGTAACTAAGAATTCAAGTTTCCTAAAAGGGTTAGTCTTTTGCAAGAAAAAAATAATAGCTAAAACGCTAATCAGTTCATTATTGCACACGATTTATGTATGCAATAGGTATTTCCTTCCTTCAGAAGACAAGTTGGTGCAGAAGATGCTCCTTGAAGAGAAGAAAAAATTGTCAGATCTTTGATACCAAACCACCACAACCCATTTTGCAAATTGGGTGTGTGTGAGGGTGGGTGCCAATAGCAAGGCAAAATAATTATTTTTAACTGTGCACAAATGCAGCTAGAATATTCAAAACTCTTTTTAACAGTACATATGTATGCAACTAGAATATTTTTAAAATTGTTTTTATGCAGAAGAGCTGCTTGTATGCTAGCAATGCCCCTGACTGATGAGTTGCTTCTTTAAATAATTCACTTTGTTGTATCTGGAATAATACAATGAATTAATGAATTAATACATGCAGTTTTTCAGAGAAATTTTTAGGATGAGAACTGCTTGCTTTAATTTACCAGCACCCTCTTTCTGACATCTGACCCAAAGCTAGTTTCCTCTCCTTTTGAATATACGATTTTTACACGCACACACACACACACACACACGTTGATATTTTTTTCTAATTCTTCTGTACCATTGCAAGAAAGTACAACTTTAAAGGTGAGTTTGTTTCAGTATTCATTGCTATGACAACTTTGCCTTCCATGAAAACAGCTACCTTATATATATATTTTTCTTAGAAAATATTTGTTTGAAGCAAAGAAGCTACTGGAGAATACATCCAATCTCACAGAAAGGGTTTACAATGAAAAAAATCCTCTACCCTATTCCAACATGTGGGATGTTTTCAATTGTATATATTTAAAACACAAAAGCCTAGCTCTCTGGTGTACAAATGTGAATTCCTCTCTACTTTAGGTATCGTTCTTTCACTTCTGAGTTTTAGGCTGGCATAGAGAGGAGAAAAGTTTGGAGGAAGTTATATTGGAAAACTGAAGTCATTCAGTTGACTTCATTCAACTGAAGTCAGGGAATGGGTGTGGATAAATGATTGTACAGAAGTTAATTATGCTTTAATCTGTGGAAGCCAACGAAACCTACACTGGTCTTCTTGATTTGGCACTCTCCAAACATCTTATAAAAATCTCATCAGTCACCAACTAACTGGAAACACCTTGGTAGATGCTTCCAACACAAGTGTAGTAGTAGTAGTAGTAGTAGTAGTAGTAGTAGTAGTAGTAGTAGTAGCAGCAGCAGCAGCAGTAGCTGTAGCCATTGGGAAATAGTGAATTTCCACCTTTTTCTCGTTTCCATTTTGGTCACTTTATTTGGACTATCCTCTCTACCTCTTCATGCCAATTTACCTACACACCATGCATTATGCAAGTAAAATCCAACCCAATATTTCTTTAAAAATGTTTAATGTTCCCTCCCCCATTTTTCCTTCCTTTCATTTTCCCTGATCTGTGCATTAAGATTGCATATCCCAGTCTATACAAGGCAGCTAAATAACTTTGGATGCTTAATAATTGGATATTTCCATATTTAGCCTGTTATGTGTCTTATTTGGAAATAACTTTTTACTCCCCTCACAAATAAGTATCTGTAGCAATGCACACATTCCGCTATCTGCTAATGCCAATACTATAAAATATATTCTAAAAGAAAAGTGCTTTAAACAGAGTTAGCCTGAATTGCTCACGGCGTTGTTCCCTGTTTACTATTTGCACAAATCATTTTCTGCTCATGTATTTGTGTGCGGAGGAACGTCTGCCTCTTCTGGCTGTAATTCTTTTGACTTGACCCTAGTTTCACCTCTATAAGAACAAAACTAGTGTAAATGTGCAGGTAAGTAGGACAAGTAGGAGTGTTGACTACTATTATTGGAAGTGGATTGAAAAGAGGGATTATGTACTCAGCCTCAAAAGGTTAAAAGCCTCTCAAAAAAACCACAAAGAATTTATATCTTGCTGAATATCCTGAAAAAAACAGCCTATTTCAAAACCATATCATGTGAGAAATACCTTGCTCTGAGCATGTCAGCTATTGCAATCTTTCTGATAAGAATTGAGCTTTCCACAGTTTCCATGTTGGTTTCCTAAAATTTGAATAGCTCCTGTGTTTGATGTATGTGTATGGAATGTACCTTGATGCTTGCAAACATTTCATAATAGATATGGCTTTTCATCACCACTTGTTTTATTTTAAAACCTAAATGAAGTTCCCAGCTAGTGTTGACGTTACCATCAGCTAGATTGTGTATTTCGAGTAGTCCTAAGCGGCTTGCTATTCTTCACATTGCCTAGTTTCCTGCAATAAATTTAAAAGCGACATGTTAGGATATTTAGGCAGTCTAGAAACTCACATTTTAAAGGAGCAATTGGAGGATTGTATTAACTGAGCTACACAGATTGATTTCCCTCCCAAACAGACTTGATATAAATCAAATCCAGACAAAGAAACACCACTTTAGGCAGAAAACCACTTTAAAGTTAGTGCACTAGGAAGTTCAATCAACTCGGTTAGACTGCTGGTCTCCAAGCTCTCCTGAGGGTCCTTCAGTGATGGTTCCTAAAGTACTTTTGGCTGAAGAATGTATTTAGAACTTTAGAATATTCATTGATTCATTCATCCTACTTTTATTATTTGTATAAATAATTCAAGGCAACAAGCCTATTTCCCCCCAGTAACAATGCCGTGAAATGAATTGGATTGAGAGTGACTAGTCCAAAGTGACCCAGCTGGCTTTCATACCAAAGGGAAGACTAGAACTCACAGTCTCCTGGTTTCTATCCTTGTGCCTTAACCATTAGACCAACTCTCATACGTTGTATATGACGTATCAGAAGTACTAGCAATAATATGGACGTGCTTTTTCCATTTAGGTGCACTGGGACTGTAATCCTCAGAATTCCATCAAGCAGGTAGGCAGAGAGTAGCACTCCTAACAAATTTGGAGGTCACTAGTTCAGTACAGGTAGTCCTGAATGTGTGCAAGTCAGTTTAAAGTTTTTGCAGTAAAATATGATAGGCTTATTTAGGGTTTGGTTGATTTGTCAGATATGTAAACCCAGTTCTTTAAATGTGTTAAGTTTACATTTCAGTTTATTGTGTGAGCCCAGAAAATAGATTAAGATGGATAGAATTAAGATGGCGATATGAATATGGCCATGCAGTATTCTAAACCAGGCTTTCTGAATCACAGTAACTTTAAGATGTGTGGACTTCAACTGCCAACATTCCCCAGCCAGCATGCTGAGGTTAAGAAACACTGTCCTAAGCCATTAAGGCACACTTTTTTTTTTTTTTGTTCTGGGCATACTTAGTGGTCAGAGCAAAAATAGGTGTAAAGCAACCTTTCTCCAAATTGGCATTTCTAGAATGTTAGCTGCAAACTCCAGAATGTTCAAGGGCTACAGTAAGAACTGAGAGGTTACTAGAATCAGGACTCCAAAAATGTGCCGGATTGTAGAAGATGAATCTTTTTTTTTTTTTGCTTTAATTTATATCTCCTGAATCTACTGAATTCAATTCCCAATTAACAAATAGGTTTCAATCAAAGCCATCGTAGATCCACAAGGAATTTTATGGAGAAGCCAACTTGACAGATTCAAAAGCCTTTATTGGGGGATGGGGGACAGCACCTTGGGTATGAGTGCAGGCACCTTGGGTATGAGTCCTAGAATGAGGACAGTCTTGGGGGAAGACAAGGTAGGTGATAGAGAGATGCTCATTCTTTGGCTGCCTGATTCTGAGCATTGCTGCAATTTTCTCCTCTACAGGAGCAAGTTTTGCTTGTTAAGTAGCGCAGGCCAGCTCTCTATAGTGCTTCAGAAGCTCAATGAAGATTCATCTCATGTGGACTTCCTGAAGAGGGGAAATGCTAAAAAACACCATCCTAGTCTATAGTGAATATAACTTAAGCTTGGACCACCTCCCATTTTTGTAACAAAAAAGCAAACCACAGACATCTGTTGTGCCATCAGGAATCTGTGGGCACACACCCACCCACTATGCCTATAGCACATCATATAAGATCATAAATGGGGACAGGAAAAACTGATGAGGATCTATTAAATCCCCTCTTAATTTTGCAATCCTCTCTAGAGGATTTGTTTATTTACTTATTGGATTGATAAAGCCACTAGACTTGGAGAAAAGTTGCCTCTAGGTTGCATGCATTATTAAGAAGAAGAAAAATGCATAAAGGAAAAGTAATAAATACTTTAGTTAATAAACAATCAGGACCCCACAACATGCATTACATTTCTCTAGGTTGCAAATCCCATCATCTTGATCCCAATGCCTGTGAAACAACAAAATATTTCTAAAGGTCAACAAGGCTGAAGTCAGTTGCATGTTGAGGTGGGACGGGGAATCATTCCAGAAAGTAGGTGCAACAAAAAAGACCCACCTTTAGGGTCCCATTAAGTGACATTACTATAAGGAAAGGATCTGATATGTTCCAGTCATAGTCCAGCATGCAGAACAAATGGAAACAATTGGAGAAAAATGGTCTTGCAGATAACCCAGTTTTGTGCCATGATAGGTGATAACCAGCACTTTGAAATGTATGTGGAAACTATTGGGAGCCAATGTGATTCAGAAAGTACTGAAAGTACTTAGGCATACTAAGCTGTGCCCATGCTATGTGCACCGGTAGATTTTGAACTGAAGCTTCTGGATATTTTTTTATGGGCACACATTGCAATAGCACAACCAGGAGGTGACAAAGGCAAGAGTGATCACTAATAGGGTTCCCCAATCCAGGAACAGGTATAATTGGCATACAAGATGAAGCTCCTGACCATACTCATCGCTTGCACTTTAAGGAGAGGCTGAAAACAGAAAACTTCCAAAATTGGACACTGGTTCTGAGCAGGGGAGCAAAGCAGCCCCTTTCCAGAGATAAGCATATTTCCACGTCCAGGACACATACTCTCTCTCTCTCTCTCTCTC